AGAAAGGAAAGGAGGAGGAATGGGACATCATTTATCCTCTCATTCCATAAATATGCACAGTCCTGTGTACTGGGGCTTCACCAGTAAACAGAACATGCATGGTTCTGGGCCATAAAGCCTTACCTTCTTGGGAGCAGAACAGACGTACAGAGAATGATTTCCTTTGTTTTTGGTGCCCTGAAAGGAAACAGGGAGCCATGATAGAGAGTAATAGGAGCCTGCATTGGAGAGGGTGGTCAGGAAGGACACAGACAAGGAGGTGAATCCATGGGAATGGGAGGAGGCCGGTCAGGAGAAGGCGGGGACCCTGTCAGGGAAAGGACACACCTGGCCAGAGGACAGCCTTTTCAGGGAGCTGATGGAAGGCCGGTATGACTAGGATGGACAGGAGAGCATACAGGGGTGAGGCCACAGCTGACTTCAGGGGCCTGGCAGGCCATGTGAGGGAATTTAGATTTTTGTTAAAACGGTGAGAATCCATCGACATATTTGCACTTGAGAATGGTATCATCTAATTTGCATCTTTAAAAGCTAGCTCTGGTTGCTGTAGGGAAAATGGTTGAGGGGTGTGTCAGGAAGGAGGGGGTGCTGCTCAGGGCTGATAGGGCCACAGCCCAGATGCGAGGTGAGGGTGGCCTGGATCCCAGAGGTGGCAGGGGAGCCAAGAAGATGTCAACAGAGTAAAGATTCAGTTTGGAGATAAGAGATTGCTTCCCTCATCTCTCATGTTTAATCTGCTTGTCCCTATGTTTATTTTGTTACCTCTGAAGGCAATTCCTCAAGGTTTGCTGAATCTATTGGTGCTGTTTTTATAAGTAATACCTGGTGCTGTCAGATTCTCAGCATCAGTCATTGGACAACAGCTATTGCAGGCTCCTATCCTTTCTCACTCATGCACCAAAAATGCTCTTTGTCTCTTACAGGCACACATCAAAACAAAAGTTGTAAGCATTTAAGATAATATTTCATAGAATGAAATACGATATCCTGTCCATCTTGGTCACTTCCTTTTGACCCCTCAGAAACTTTATTTTGGAGAATACACACAGGGAGAAGGGAACAGTCTTAGAAAGATCTATATTCAAAATGCAGTTTTCTATGCTGCCCTAAAACTCACCTTTTGTTCATAAAGGGCTAAGTTTTGAGTTTATCTGAAATTATGCTTACATATGGTATGATTTGTTCATTCTATTCTGAATTGGAGAAGAGTGAACTATACTTTCTCCTGTCTAGCACAGTTCATTATCTGAAAATTGCAGCACCAAGCTGGGCTGGACAGTGGCAGAAGTGACACCAAATAGATTATGAGGGGACTGATAGCCAAGTGCATATTTTTTGGTTGTCTTGGTTGAAACCTGAATTTTGGTTTAACTCTTGGATCTGTCTAGGGCAGATCTAAAAGATTTACTCCAGAAAAATCTTTGAACCCAGTGTCATTTTGACTCTGCTCTTGAAATTATAGGGGTTAACCCCAGAATTAGTCAAACCAGTCTTCCACCTGAGATTTTTGAAACAAATAATGGCCCTGAGCCCCTCTCAACCCAGAGCAATCCTCTTGCCTCCCTTGTCCTGGCGTAAGGGATGGGAAACCAGCTAGCTGTCAGGGTAAAAGAGAAGGTGACACGTAGATTACTTGCCCCAACACTTTCTGAACTCTGCCTTCTCTCTGTATGATTTTCCAAATGTAAAATGTGAAATTTCTTAGGAAATGACCATTAGGAATGAGTTCCTAATCCTTTCAATTCACAAACAGAGCTTGTAAACTACAAAAGACACATTCCTTTCTATCCTTACAGAAGAAACATTGTTGTCTATTTCAGGATTCATTTTCTTTAACTGGGATTTCAGCTCCAGATATAATCCAGGAGGTGCTTGTCGGATAATTGCATTCTTTCACTGACTTTTCTTTCTCAATTTACAGATGATTTTATTTTTTTCATGCTGTGAACCAAATGATATTTGATGTTCTTTTTAGGGAAGAACAATTAATGTATCCCTGAATTGTGGCCCTGTTTAAACATCTGTTTTTGGGATAAATTGCTTATTTGTTTAAGAATGAAGTTCTACTTCATTTAAGGCCATTTTTGTCTATTAGCAAAAGAGTTCTATTTGAATTTTCATGAGATGTTTTACTTCACACCAGCAAGCCATTGTTTGAGAAAATCAGAACATTAAGCCTTTTTTTAAACAAACAAAAAATGTATTACCTCCTTATAAATAGTGGAAGTAGAAACACAAATAATATATTTCCTAATTGCTTTTTTTCTAGACCTAGCAACAACTGATCGTGGTTAATGTTGCTATCAGCCAGCTTCTAGGACAAGTAATATATGCTACTAAACAGAAACATATTTTAAAAAAGCTTTTAAAAGAGCCACCTGCCAGATCGGGTTGATTAGGCATCTAAATAACATGTTGGATTTCAAATATATTTGTGAGATACCTGTTTCATCCTTGAGAAACAATAATCAACTTTGTTGAGAAGGTCGACCATTCTCTAGGGTTTACTCGAGGTGTCAGGATAAGCAATTGCCTTGCTACTACAAATTTGTAGTGTAACATTTTGTTGGGCCTGTTTTTGTTGCCACTCTGTAGATAATAAATTGCATGGAAGGCTCTTTCCATTGGCAGAAGTTAGTTCCTTTTGTGTTCTCTGCAGAAAATGAGTTGCTTTGCTTTGTGATAGGCAGGTATCCAAGCACTAACATTTTTCTTTGCCGTCTGGAATCAGGTAATGACGGCCCATCATTCTCACTGACAGTGGGGATGACAGTCTTGCTCATCGCATATCTCTAGCATAGCTCAAGGACAAGAAAAATGGCTAGAATTTTATCAGCAGGCTCAAGAGTCAAGGGACAGGAGTGATGTGGGTTGGAGTAGATGATTAACTTTTTGAAGAATCCTGTCATGTTATTAACTCCAAATTGACCAGAAGGTGCTACTTGACTGTAGAACCATGAACACCTTCTTTCATTGATTCCCCTGAAATTATAAAGTGTCTATTTTGTTCAGTTCTTTCCTTTTCTTTTTTGATGCAGTAGGTCAGATGCTGGCCAGCTCTAGCTTGCGGGACCAATCCAGTCTATGGCTGGCCAGCTAAGAAATGGGTTCTTAGTTTTTAAATCGTTGAAAAATCAGAAGAAAATTATTTCTTGAAAATGATGTATTAGTGCCCATAAAAGTAAAGTTTTATTGGAACACAGCCTACTCATTCACTTACATATGTCTATGGCTGTTTCTTTGCCATATTGACAAAGTTGAATTGAGTTCTCAGGACAGATACCAAATGGCCCACAAAATCTAAGTTGAGGTATCTCTTAGGCAATTCTCAGAAAATATGTTATTTACTATGTAAATAGCCATGATCCTGTCCTTAACTATAGTGGCGATTTTTCTTGTGGAAAAGGTATTTTTTTCAGGAGCCAAATGGAGGAAATTTTTAGCTACTTCTTTTGTTTGGTATAGTCTGACTGCATTAAGGGAAGAGCCAAACAGGAAGATATCAAAGCCAGTTCAGACAGTAAATCATCTAATCTGAAGGTATGAGATCAGTGTATTCATTGATTTTATCTGCTTTCTTTTTCCAGCCATTTTGTGTGCCTTGGAAAGAACCCTCAGTCCTAAAATTCTGTTATCATTTTGTACAGATATACATTTATCCTTGCCAAGCCTCATTTCTTTCTTGGCATTGCAGGACTTACCATCCGCCCACCTTTAGAATGGGTCCAGGTTGAACCACTCAGTGTATTTGAACAATGTGGTTCGTGGACATGTTGTTCTACGTGAGATACTGAACCACTAAGAAGAGGGTGCCCAACCCTGATTTGCAAATGAGCTCCTCTTTCATACATTTGACATTCAGCTTTAGGACAAGATCATAAAACCCCTTCAGTCCATATTAAATGTCAGTCACAGGGCCAAAAATGGATAAGGGCTGAAATAGTATGTTTTGAATGAAGCCCAGGCAACAAATTATAATGTGTGCTCTGTCTTTAATGGAATCATTTTCCCAAAGGGTGCTGGAAATTTCAGGCTCTTCCGCAGTGGGGCCAGACAGAACTCTCCCAGGCTGTTTACGAGGGCTGTCATTAGCCTCCTATAAGCTCTGGGAGGATATGGGAAATCAGGGTAGGCTGTGGAGCCTTGCCTGGGTTCAGTCTGGTTTATTACTGGGCCTGAGGTACTGGCAGATTCTTCTCAGCTCTGGAAAAGTTATTGGCATTATCCAGCCAGAACTTGTGAGGACTCTTTGGATTCTATTAGAACCCCTCTGTGCAATTCACCTAGGATTCTGGCACTGGTCAGCAGGTTTATCTAATGGTTCAGTTAGTCAAAGTTACTGACCCCCCTGCTTGCGCCTCCATGCTGTCCACTATGTTTTCCTTGTTAGCTGCATTTCTTCTCACTGAGGAGATTCTGAGCACCTCAGGAACCCATTGTCTCCTCTATCTTTAACAGCTTTCAAGCACTAGTGGGACTTTGCACTCAGTTTGGTAATTTCTCTTAAACGTTGATTGTGTGGCAGGATGGGAGAGGCTAAAAGTTCTCAGGAGCTTTTGCATGTCTACTGTGCGTTGTTAGTAAGTCCCTGCCAGACCGCGCAGGGGCAGCAATTTAATTCACTAGCCATTAGTCAAACAAACAATAGGTGGGACGGATGTTAAGCTTAAATATCTCCAGTGCACCATTTAAGCCATACATCCCACCTGTGGGCTGTCTGCAGCCTGCCCTTTTGTTGCAGTGGGTCCCCTAATCCTCTTTTCAGTCCCTTTCATCTTATCATTGTTCTCAAGGCACAGCTCTGTAAACCACATAGAGGCCTTTCAATTTCCATCGCATTTTGTTTTATTCAGCCAATTGACTAGTACTTTCGGCTAATTGGAGTGGAAATGTAAAATGAAAGCTGTATTATTCAGCTGCCAAGTCTCCTCAGTTGGCAGGGAGTGGGTGACACTGGTAATTGTACCAGAAGTGTAATTGCTCTGGGTTCTGCCTCTGGATTTCACATTGAGCCCTGGGAGGGTCTTCCTCGGAGACACCCGATACCTGCTTCTCTTCAGTGGCTTCCTGGCAAACAGTGAGGCTTGAAGCAGATCTAATCAAGCATTCTTATGTTCTTGGAGAATACAACCACTGTGTATTTTGCGGACTGCGGGAGTGGATTGGTGAGTCTAAGTACTTAGTCAATATGTCATTCTCATCAGAGCTGGCAGTTAATTTCCTCTTGGTTTGGAATGAGGGTGGGATCCATGTTCCCAGAGGTGAAGATGCTAACCTCCTATGCCAGTTGTGGCTTGTGCCAGTGCATCTGTGGGAGCAGTAGCTGATGCAGAACAGAGCCCATTTTGTGAACTAGTTGTAAATGAGGAAAGATTTATATTTCTGGAAAGAGTTGACTAGCTTAATGGAAAAATAAGGAAAATAAAATGTAGTTGATGAGTTTGTCATTAAAGATGTTCTTCTCAGTAGTTTTGGCCCAGCCAACTTTCTTTCTTATCTTTCCTTTTTTTACTTTTTTTCCTGCTGACATTCATGAATCAAGTAACAGTGGTGAACAGTATTTTGAAATAGATTATGTGGTACTGGCATGTGGTAACATATGGCGCAGGTTAACTTCCCCTGTGCCCCATAGCTTAACCCTGACCCCATGGCAGGTAATAGTCATCTTTCTCACTCCACCTGCCTGGACAGAGATTCAGAGTCCTCCTCAACACAGCATTTTACACAGCTATTTCCAGAGCTGGCGTATGTGATAAAACCTGTTTACCATCTCTGACTTAGAAATTTGGAAGAATATTTCCACTATGGACCCAGGAAATGGAAATAGCAACAGCTATGTAATTATTATACTCTCCTCATTTGCCAAGATTAAGAAGGTTGATTTGAGCAGTGTTGTCTAGTACAGTTTTGTTACTGTATTTTTATTATTTTATCATACCACATGTCTTTATAGAACTCTTTCTCAAATACTTCCAGAGGAGGAAACTGATTTTGTTTCCCTAAAAGCTTAAGGTCTTGAGTAAGATACTGAAAGTAAGGTCGCTGAGGAAGGCTGGCTACCAGTGTTGGTCCTTGATTCCCTCCCTCCCAGAAATCCTTGCCAGCTGCCACAAGATGGGATGTAGGTGATAACAGCAGCCAAAGTCAGTTAGGTTTATGGATCAGTTATGCCCAAACCTGTTGAGAGCTCTTCTCTCCAGAACCATCATTTTTCAACTGAAAGAGCATTGTTTTTGAAATCAAGTGGTGCTGGCTTCAAATCCTGGCCTTCCCAGTTAAATGATAACTGAGCATATAATTTCTTTAATGGAAGCAACATTAAGTAATTCATAAGATTTGTTATAAGGATTAAATGTCACATATAAATACATAACATATATACACACATTTGTAATATGTATATGCATGTAGCATGGGTGTACATATATACATACCTATAATATATGCATATGTGTATATGTACATATACACATAGGTGTAATACATGTATGTAGTAGTTGGTTAGTAAATGCTAGCTGTGAATATTGTGTGGACATGTAACTTGCATAATGACATTTTAAAGGGGACGTTATTAAATGTGGTTTGGTAAGTTGTATGATATTTTAAAAACATTTATCTCTACTGTATCATACTTTGAAAAGTAAGCTTTCTCGCATGCACACTAGGAATGGTTGTATACTGATGACCATGCACACATAAAATGCACAATGAGAAAAAGCTGGCAGATGATGAAGTCCTTTATAAATTCTGCACAGGGGTATACAGTGATGATCTGAGAAACAGGTTATCTAGAGATTTATCTGGAGTACACGAAAGGTCTAGGATGGGGAACTGAGAGCCTCTGGTCTACCCTTTAAGTGCTGGATAGTGTGGTCAGAAATTGCAAATGTGTTATTTATTTTATCCTCCAAGATTGATTTTTATTCTTTTTACATAAAAAGAAACTGAGGCTCAGTTAGGATAATTATGTTGCTTAAGTTTCTGTACAATTAGGGCAGGAAGCTAGAGTCTAACCCAGAGTTGTGTGACTCCAAAATCCATCTCTAGTTTATCTACAGTGTGCTCTAATCTCTAAATTTTATGGAGGAGGAACCCAAGGTCCAGGCAACAGAATTATCTAGTGAACCCAGCTTGGTAAAGGCAGGCGGTGACTCCTAGTCCAGGGCTCTTTTTCCATGCCAGGTTCTCTCCAACGGTTCTTTTTCTTTGTTCCCTAGTTGTTTTAAAAGGCTACCTTCTTCAACTGCCTTTAAATTTCAAGGGCAAATGTATTCTTCTGCATCTGATTTGGGTTGTATTTTTCTGTATTTCTCATGTTGCTTAGCACAATGGTAGATCCTCAATAAATTTTTAGTGACTTGAATTCTTGAAGGATTTAGTTTCTGAAATCCTATATTGAGTGAGGCAGAGTATAAATACATTCACACACACACACACACACACACACACACACACACACACACACACACACATACTGGCATTTTATCTGTGAGACGTTCAGGCAGTACTTTATAATAATGGCTCTTAATGTCATTAGATCCACTGCCCGGTTTTTATCCACTGTGACTATCTTTATCTTCTAAGATTGCCATTCAGTGTAATTGTTTCTATTTTAAGGTTTATATTTACTATATTATTGTTTGTTTTCTATTTGTCACTCCTATGTTTCTTTTTTCTCTCTTCTTTTGGATCAGTGAAATTTTTTAAATATTTAATTTCCCCATCAACTAACTGGTTAATTATACATGTCTTTACTATTCCTTTAGGCATTATCCTAGAAGTTACAACATGTATTAATCATTTATTTACCTCTTTCCAACTAGTACAAGAACCTTGGTACACTTTAGTTTTATTTACTCCCTACTGTCTTTTGTGTTATTGTTATTATGCATTTTATATTTACATGTATTTTAAATCCCATAAGATGTTATTATTTTTGTTTTGTACATTCTCTTTTTAGATTTACCCACATATTTGCCCTTTCCATTACTCTACATTCCTTCCCACTGTTCCCATCTAGAATCATTTTCTTTTTTCCTGAGTAATTACCTTTAGTTTTTTTTTAAATTCTGCAGATCTGCAGGTGACAAATCCTCAATTATTATTTTTTAAATATTGATTTCACTTTCATTTTTGAAGGATATTTTTTTCAGGGTATAGAACTCTAAGCTGGTGATTGTTTTCATTTATCACTTAAAAATTTGTTTTCTGACTTTCATTGTTTGTGTTCATGTGTGGAGAAGTTAGCTGTCAGGTTTAGTGCTCTTTCTTGAATGTATCCCCTACCTTTCTATGGCTTTTACAGTTTTTCTCCATGGAAACAACCTCAGTGGATGAATAGATAAAGAAAATGTGGTAATAATATACAGTGGGATATTATTCAGCCTTAAAAAAGAAGGAAATCCTGTCATTTGTGAAGAACATGGATGAAGCTGCAGGACATTATGCTGGGTGAAGTAGGCCAAAGAGGAAGACAAATACTGGATGGTATCACTTATATGTGGAATCTAAGGAAACAAACGGCAAACCCACAGAAGCAGAATGGAAGAGTGGTTGCCAGTGACTGAGAATAAGGAAAGGTTGGGGAAAAAAAGATTTTTCTCTTTGCTGTTGGTTTTTAGTAGTCTTACTCTGATGTGCTCAGGTCTGTTTTCTTTGTATTTATTCTGCTAGATATTCATAGCACTTCTTGAATCTATGGCTTGATTTTTTTTCTGCTTTAGAACACTCTTGGCTATTAATTCTTCAAAAATTTGTTTGCATCTATTTTCTATCATTTCTTCTCAGAACATAATTGCCCATGTGTTAAACATTGCAACATGTTCCATGTGTCTCCTGGGCTCTTTTCTATGTTTTCTATACTTTTTGGTCTTTGCCCTTGAGTTTGGATATTTCTGTTGACCTGTCTTCTTGTTTACTAATATTTTTTTGAGCTATACCCAGCATACAGTTAAGCAATGATAATCTCATTTGTTTGTATTTTTCTATTTGAGACTTTAAAATTATGTTTGTGATAATTGGTTATCTGATGAAATATTCATAGCTATTTAAAAATCTCCAAAGATGTTTTCATTGTCTTTTGTTAGCTTTATAAAGTTACAAACAAAATAAAGTATAATCTTTCCTTGAGTTGCATAGTAATATGTTCCTGGAAAATTCAGTGTATATATTATTACCACTCAGTAAATTCTTTGTGTTTATATGTAAAACAGAATGAAGATATATACTGAAATAATTATAACCAGGTTTCTCATTGGCATGAATTTTTGGTGGGAGATTTGCAAGTCATGTGAAAGTGGGATAATTTTTCTTTGTGCAGGGGTGGCGTGTTTATTACATGACATGTGGAGTGTTTGATTCCTATCCATTAAATGCTAGTAGTACCTCAACCTTGAGTCTTCAAAAAAAAATTTTTAAATTCCTCTTGTGGTAGCATAGCCTCTGTTTAGGAGCCTGTTTTAACTTAAATAATGAGGCTGCCTCACCAGCCGTGAAGTCTTTGACTGAGGGCTTGGCTAGGCCTGAAAAGGTAGTTGGATATGGCTTTACTTGGTTTAATGTGATCGTCAGTACAACTCCCAACCATTTACTGGATGACTAATTTAACTAGGCCAACTGCTAATAGGTTGGCTACAGAAAAAATTAGGGATTGAGGTTGGACTGCAGAGCTTCAGATGGTATGGCATGCTGGAACACAGTAGCATCAGGCGGGTGAGCCTGGCATCCAGCAGAAATAGAGGAGTCTTTTAGAGCAAAGGTCTTGACTGAGACTGAAGTTTACAAGGCAGGATCTCAAGCAGTGCATTTTGAAAATGGCTACTGCAGCTGCAAGGCTCTTACAGGGCAGCATGGAGAGTGAAGCACTGTTGTCTGTATATTTGACTTTTTACCAATTACATCACAAAAATAGCAATTATTCAAAACTGAGAATATCCATGCATCCATCCCTCCATCCATGCCCCTAGCCATTCATTAACTTAGTGAAAAATATTATAAATACCTGCTATGTTTAGTTGTTATGAGGATATGAAGCTACCTATCTCTATATATGGAAATTGCTGTTTAGACAAATAAACAACTAATTACAAAATGAATGATAATGATTTAGTAGGAGAGAAAGACAAGAAAATAAATAATTTTAATATGAGAGATAATGGTACAGCTA